TTTATTCTATAATCTAATAAAATATTACAAACTGTAGAAAAAAAGTACCAGTTTTAATTTCTTCGGTGGCGGTTCCTTTGTTGAATCATTTTCCCTTTGCACTGACAAATATATAATGAATTTATGCATGTTTATTAATATGCACCACTACCAGCTAGTTCAGGGGTCTTCAAACTTGGCACTTTTAAGACTTGTGGACTTCAACTCCCAGAATTCCTCAGCCCTTCTTCCTCTCTCCCTTCTGAGCTCTTCCATAGTATAGTAAGAATGCACCCCTCCAATCCCTTTCCTGTACCCTTAAAGACATAGGAATCAAGTGCAAAGCAAGAAAGGCTCACAAAATAAGCCTCCATTTTTTTCTCTCTTTAAGCTGCCTCAGGCGTGTCACGTATCACAGTGTTGCAATCCTAGACCAGGGCTTTTCAACCAGTGGTATGGGTACCATCTGTGGTACATTGGCACCTGGCAGGTGGTGTGCGACCATCCTAGAAAAGTGGTAGCGGGGGAGGGGAATGAGAGTGCTGCTGGGAGGGCAGGCAGGTGTCTTGCTTGGCTGTGCCTTGGGGGGCACTTTTTTCAGTGCCATTGTAACTTCAAACAGTCACTAAGCAAACTGTTGTAAGTCGAGGACTACCTGTACTTTATCACTTTTTTCCTTTTGGGGGGGGGTCATCAAGTTTTCGACACCTTGCTAGGCGACTGGTGGTATTCGGATATTGCCATATCCTAAAAGTGGTACAATGGGTGAAAAGGTTGAAAAGCCCTGTCCTAGACTGAAAGGCTCCGGCAATTGCGAAAAGCTTTAACTTTAAATTAAGTCTCTTTACCTTCAAAGAAAACTTTCTAAAAGCCATAGAGAGACTCAATTAAAGGGGGTAAAACTAATCTCGTTTGTTTAAAGGGATTAAACCTTTCCGTTCCCCCACCCAAACCACCTCCTTTTATAGCCTGTCCTCCCCCCCTTTTTCTTCAGTTCACCTCCAGCTCCGAGCTGCTTCCAGAAGCGCCAATCAGCTGAAGCCAATCAGCTGGAGTCCTCTCCCTCAGGCTTGGGTCGCTTAGGCTCATTCCCCTCCCCTGCTACACTTGGCTAGCAGTCACGTACCACCTGCCACATGGCAAAGTACCAAAGGTGGTAACTGTACCACCAGTTGAAAAGCCCTGCCCTAGAGCAGGGGTCCCCAACCCCTGGGCTATGTTCCACCTCCGGACCTTGAGCTGTTCGGAACCGGGCCGCGGAAGTGGTGGGCAAGTGTGCATGAACAAGAACACATGCTTGTGTGAACAGTGGGTGAATGTGTGCACATGCACACTCCATTTGCGCAAGTGGCAGGCATGCATGCCCACCGCTTATGCAAATGGAGCTGTGAGCACACATGTGCCCGCCACTTGTGCGGAACCATCCCCTCTCCCCCCCCACTGCAAAAACAAAAAGGTTGGGGAGCTCTGCCTAGAGAAGGAGAGGTTGGCTTCCCTTCCCAAGTGGCATTTAAATGGGAAGCAGTGTATGTTGCCTGCTGTTTCATGTCCTGCTTCTATGTTCTGTGGATGCATTTTGGAAATGCTGTTCCACTAAGCTTCTTGGGTAAAAAGGCAATCAGAACTACAGGTATATATGGTGAGAGAGAAAAAAACAACATATACATTTAATAAATAAACAAACAAAAACTTTTCTGAAGGACCTGAAACCTTACATGGACTTTTTGTTGAAAGAAGAAGAAAAAATGTTTGTTGTTGTTGTTAATTGCGAAGTCGTGTCCGACCCATCGCGACCCCATGGACAACGTTCCTCCAGGCCTTCCTGTCCTCTACTATCTTCTGGAGTCCATTTAAGCTCATGCCTACTGCTTCAGTGACTCCATCCAGCCACCTCATTCTCTGTCGTCCCCTTCTTCTATTGCCCTCAATCTTTCCCAGCATTAGGCTCTTCCCCAGTGAGTCCTTCCTTCTCATTAGGTGGCCAAAGTATTTGAGTTTCAATTTCAGGATCTGGCCTTCTAAAGAGCAGTCGGGATTGAAAAGGTGTGGACAAGTTGAAAGTTTAAGGCATTTGTATAACATTCAAGAGGGAGGGAGAATTATTACAATACATTACATTTTATGCATTGATTTTCTTTACTTTTTTCTTTCCTGGCACCTTTTTCCTCCCTCCTTTTCCCTTTATCTTTTTGTTTAGATTTGACTTTTATTGTATGTAAAATTTTATAAACAAACAAACAAATAAATAAATATGAGTGGGTGAAGGAAGTGGAAATTCAGGTTATCAGTGACTATACAAAGGAGAATATTAAATGGGCATTGCTCAACAAATTGCACAAAGTGAACATAAATGTGAACTAGCATCAAACCAATTTTTTTTTCCTTCATCAAGATTGGGGGCATCTCAGAGAGTAAGAGAGAGCTTGTGGAGTTGAAGTCAGAAGGAAGACATTCACAGTTAATATCTTCAACTATTCTTTCCAGTTGTTTGATGCTTATAGCCCCAGACTACAGCAATCCCTTGGGATTTTCTGGAATGCCAGATACAGTGTATCAGCCTTCTTCGCATAATATTTTGATTTTATACTAGCTAGAATCTCTTTGAAGCAGATACGGCTTTTCTAGACTTACTGAACATTACAAGCAAAGAGTAAAAATTAAGACAGCAAAACAAATTGCAGTCCCTTAAATCTGCTCTGTGCCATAGGAGATCACCCTTCTCAGTCACCTATTCTGGCAACCAGTCATGCGCACACATCTGCTGGCCCTGAAAATCCTGGTGCCAGATGGTGCTCTTGCAGGTCAGCCTTAGGCTGCCTGGCAGCAAGCCCATAAATAAATGAGCTACAATCAACCAAGCTGAACAAATAATGTAAAGTTTTAGGAATCAAGATGGAAAGTTCAAAGTTTGCAAGATTTTTTTTTCCAACACTGTCTGCTTTCCTCCTCCATATCTTCTTTTTTATGGTAAGGAAGCAGAAGCCTGAACATAAACAGAGCTAACTGCAGAGGACCACAATAGAAACCTCTCACTGAATTCTGCAGGGTATAGGAGCTCAATCTGTGTAAATATTGCATTTAAAACAGGCCATGTTAACCCATATTCCATGCCAAGAGCTTAATTTTGCCATTACATAAATCAAACAAAGGTACCTTTTGGAGGCCAGACAGGATACAGGAGTATTTCACATTAGCTGCATATATAGAGTCAAGGACAGATATAATTATACAGATTCCTATCTTATCCTATCCTATCCTATCCTATTTCTATTCCATTCCATTCAGTTTTTGAAGAGGGTTGCAGTGGATATGACACTAGATAGATATAAACAAAACCGAAGGAAATGTGGATGTTGATAATATGTGGAAATTATTGATAGGAAAAAGGTTTACTATGAAAACAGTAGATAGTTTTGTCTGTTTGGTAAAAAATATTGGATTTCCAACTCATTTGGGCTTTATAACTGTGCATCATGATTACTCTCACTCTGTAGTATGCTAATTTGACAGTAACTGCCAGCAAATTTGAAGAATGACATAGCAGCAAACCGATTCGAAAACGTCAGTCTAAATACCCAAATCAAAAAAAGAGACTTAACAGAGTAGGTAAATTATCATACAATAGCTATAATTTCACATGCTAGCAACATAATGTTCAAGATCATCCAACATAGATTAGAGCCCTACATAGAAAAAGAGAAACCAGGCATTTGAGCTGGCTATAGAAAAGGCCACGGAAGATGAGACATTATTGCTGACTCATGCTGTACAACTGAGAAAGTCAAAGAATACCAAAGAGAAATCACTATGTACTTTATTGATTATAGAAAGGTATAAGGTGTCAATCATATCAGACTGTGGAATGCGCTTAGAAAAATGGGAATCCCAGGACATCTTATTGTGCTCATGAGAAATCTACACAGAAGTAAGGAAGCCACAGTATAGACAACACATGACAAAACAGACTGGATTCAAGGTGACAAAGGAATGGGATAGAGCTGTATACTTTCTCCATTTTATTCAACCTGTATGCTGAACATACATTAAGGGAAGGTGGATTGAAAGAAGATGAGTAACTTCATCTTCATTGTGCTATGCTAATAACACCACTATAAAAGCTAAAAATCCAAAGGATCTACAAAGTCTAGTAATAAAATTCAAAGAGCAAAGTGAAAAATATGACTAACAATACATATAAAGAAAATTACCTGGTACTACAACCAGTTTTCAAACTAATAATAAAAATACTGAAGAGATAAACAGCTTCTCCCTTTTAGGATCAGCAATCAACAGTAAAGGGATAAGCCATCAGAAATATACTACAGAGTAGCACTCAGCAGAGCAACTAGGAAGAAGGCCTTGAAAAAGATAGTCAGATGCTGTGATGAGTCCATGCCTACAAAGATTAGAATAAGGCAAGCAATGATATTCCCACTCTATGGAAGTGAAAGAATTGGATTTTGAAGAAGCAGGATAGGAAGAGTATTGATGCTATTGAATGTTGGTGTTGAAAAAGACTCCTGGGAATATTTTGGACAACTAAGAAAACAAACAAATGGATAATCAAACAAATCAACCCAGAGTTCTTACTGAAGACACAAAGGACCAGGCTGAAATTATTATACTTTGGAAAATTAGCAAAGGTCTAGTTTTCAAGAGAAAGCTTTAATGCTGGGAAAAATGAAAAGAAAAAGAAGAGGATGATCAGCAGCAAGGTGAGTGAACTCAGAATAGCCATGATTGCAGCACTGGAAGACCTCAAAGACCAGATGAGGGCCAGATCATCATGGAGAATATCTATGTGATCACTAAGAGTCAACATGATTTGATGGGACATAATCACATAATAATCAATTATTGTAATTGAGCTTTAAAAAGTTCAAAAGCATGAGTAATTTCACCACATTGAAATCAGATACACATTTAAGACTGAAACAAGACAAAAGTGCTTTTGACTACACTTTTGATTATTTTTTTCTAAGAATTATGAAATAAAAACAAATGTGCTAAAGCTCATTTACCTTCAAGGTAGCTCCTAAAGACCTCAGGCCTGTTGAATGCCTTGCCAGCTTCAGTACTCGGAATATTCTCATAAGACGAAACACTTGCACCACCTTACCCACATTTCCCAGTTCTGAATCTGTCTTCATGGTCACATCTACCCAGAGGGTGAAATAGAAAGGCAACACTGAAATAATGTCAATCAGATTGAGGGGATGCTTGAAAAACTTCCTCAAGTTTGGAGCCAAAAGCAAGCGGGCAGTAACTTCAAATGTGAACCAGGAGATGCAGAAATACTCCAAGTTTTGCAACACAGAGTCATCCTTCAATTTGCCCTCCTCATCAAGTTGCTGGTACTCTGGCATGCTGTGAATACACATGGTAGCTATGGAAACCAGCACAACACTGATAGACAGAAAGCTGAAGAGTTTGCTTGGGATAGAGTATCCTGGATTTTCCATGGTGAGCCAAAGGCGCTTGCGCAGATTGCCACAGCGGAGTGTATTATAGCGAAGCAGGTCATGATTAAAATCTAAGATCTCATCTGGGGATGTATCCACACTGCTAACCTCACTTTCCTCATCCCAATTGTGATGATGTCTCTCCAGTTTCCTTTCATGATAGCGATAGCTGCAGCAGGAATCCAGAAAGAATTCATTAATGCCCCAGTATTCTATCTCTTGGCAAAAGGAGAAGACACACAGTTCCTCCATCACATGCAGCTTGCCAGTCTGATAAAAATGGAGCACATATAGGAAGAAGCCAGGATTCCGATCAAAGTAGAATTCCCTGGCACTCACATCATAATCATCACACAGCTGTAGGATAGATTCTTCAGAGTCACAGGAAAGCAAACGCCCAAGCCGAGTGTCAGGAAATTTGGAGAGGGCACTCGAACTGAGTCTCCTTCTCAGGCCCCCAACATTGATGTTGATGACCTCATCCTCAAAATCAGACTCCCAATAGTTTAATCTCCTGTTGACCATGATCAGTAGAGATGGGACTATTTTGGCCTGCAGACAACACTGAAACAGAGAGAAAAGAAGATTCTTTGCTTAAGCTAATTGGGAAAAAAAATCAATTATCCAAAACATCTAAAGGTAGTTTTGTGCCTGAGAGTCCCCTAGCTATTTAGACTATTTGTTATAACAAACAAAGTTAATTAGTTTTACAGCTAGGAGTGTACATGTGCTTTGATCATATAGTTTAGAAAGAATCCCTGGTACACTTTTCAATTAAAGGATTTTTTTTTAATCCAGAGCAAACCTGACATTTGAAATCTATGTATTTCATGGAACCGCCAACAGGTTTTTTTCTACACAAAAAACAGAAAGGGATTATTTTGAATAGAAAAACAGGAGGTACTGATTAATTCCACTACTATAGCTGCTGCAACTTCTTTCATTTTGAGGAGATGTATCTGTAATCATGCAGGGAATGAAATATATGCCCCTGTTTTCTCTATGGAATTACAGCAAAAAAGTGATGGACAGAGAAACAAACATCAATTTGTTTTTGCCAGGAAGTGACTCAGATGCAAAATGCTGATAAGCCTCATCTCAAGGTTTTCATATTGAGGATCAGAGAAACCTACCTTACACAGTCAGATTCTAGGTAACGTGGCTCATAATTATTGCCACTTAATAGTGGTGGCTCTCCAGAATTCCAGGCAGGAATTCTGCCTAATCCATGTGGAAACACCATGGGTGAAACCTTGGAATTTCTACATGCCAAATGGAGGTAGGAATTGTACCAATGAGCTATGCTATTGAGTCAGTAGCCCACTAATACAGTGGTTCTCAACCTTTTTAATGCCGCGACCCCCAACCGGTCGTAAGTCGAGGACTACTCAACCAGTCATAAATCGAGGACTACTCAACTGGTGCAGCACCGTTTGCAGAATGGGACTTTTGGCGGGCTCAGCAGGGCAGAGACAGCCTGGACAATTCCTATTGGCTTTTGAAAGCCAATAGAATTAGACTCTATTCAAGAGAGTCTATTCTATTGGCTTTCAAAAGCCAATAGAATAAAATGGAGTAGCACAGCTAAGAAAAAGGGGGAAAAATGGCGGACTGAGTTGTTTGGCGACCCCCGTGAAATGGTCGTTCGCCCCAAATGGGGTCCCGACCCACAGGTTGAGAACCACTGCACTAATAGGTTTTGTTTTCTTTTTCTACAACTGACATCTTATTCCTTCAAAACTTCAACTAATTGTTCAATATTGCAAGGATAAGATGTTGTCTGAGAAAATTAAAACCAAAAGACTGTGGGGATCACAGAAAGAAGCTTCAGGTGTCTTTAGAACCTGCCCACACCCAGTCAGATAGCAGGGTCCAAGGCATTGCTCCACAAAAATTAACATACAGCTGATATATCTAACTAACACCCAACAATTTTGCCCAAGACGGAAAGTCAAGGAAACTGACAGTATGTATGGCTTTAAACTAAATTGCTGATGATTGCAGATCTGGAAGAATGTAGATTTTAGTTCATATCAAGCATGCTTGCCTTTATCAGTGGGTGAAACTATATGAAAGCAATGCAAACAAACAGATCAAAATGGAGTTTTACATCCCACAAACTCTAGCTCTGTATCCAAAACAGAAGATCCTAAAATACCAATTTTGTCAGCAGAGTAAGTGGCATAATTTCTACAACAGGCCAAGGATGATTCACCTTTGAAGAAAACTAAACTTGTGTTACCACACCATTTCCTACCCTCAATTATGCTTTCCAATGGTTCTCGGCCAAGTTGTTGGTAGTAGATTTCTGTGATTCTACTTGTCTTGCACATGTTTAATCTTAAAGGCAATCTGATTAATCAGGCCCAGGTAATATAAGAAAAGAGGATAAATAAATATCTAGATGCTTTCACAGAGAGAATCCTTATCTAACTTAATGATCCCCAAATTCGCTAAACTTTGTTAACTATGTTAACCATGCCAGTTGGTGGATTAACAGGAAAAGAATATATATTTTTCCAAAGGGCACCATGCTGGACAATTTTCACGTAAAATTCAGTTTTATGGTTCGGTACCAGATAGATTCTTTTCCAAAGGTATGATGTTTTCAACGCAGACAAAAATAAATGAATAATCAGAGAATAGAATTAAAGAATAAAAAATACTAAGGTTGTAAATGCTGCAAATAAGGGCATGTTAATTGGGAAACTATATGGCTTAAAGACAAAATCAAGCTGAAGCAATAAAAGCTATTCCTAAAATAAAAATTTAAAACTTGCCCATGTAAATAAATCAGTCTTAACTAAAAGCTAAAAATTAATAATTAGAATGTCTGGAAAAGCAAAAACATAAAAATCTGGGATCTATATTTGTCTGAACAGGTATAGCAATACCCCAAAGGGCCAATTTACCTTGTTCATATTTGTCTACAGTCTCCAACTGCCCCTCATTGAATGGGAAGCTCTACGCAGGGACTTATGTAGAGTATCTAATTGAATGTAGGAAAAAAAAAATCTATGCAATCAGAAACTTTGCTTTAACAGGCTTTCTGTCTTAATGCTGGAAACACAAAGAGATAGGCAAAAAAACATTGTTAACTCTGAACTATTTACCTGTGTTGGTTACTTTGTTTAGGTATGATGCTTGCAGTTGACTAAAAAGCTCAGATACATATCTTGATTTTCTAAAGTGTTCATATAGGAAAAGCCAATCGTTCAGATATCTCAGACCTCCTAAGTATTTTGCCAACATAAATAGCTCTTTTGTTTGTGGTATTCTAATGAAAGAATAAAAAGACACAATCTAAACACGATAGAAACTGAACTGTAGGGCTATTTAAAAGAAATCACTGATTCTAGAGTTGGAAATGCTCCCAAATTTATCTTCAGCATGTTCTAGAGTTATTTGTTTCAAATTCTACTTAATGCTTGTCTATTCCACTTCATAAGCTACCCAGAATTGCTCTGGGTAATGAGATGGATGGCATATAAATTCAATCAATCAATAAAATAAAAGGAGTCATCCTTCAGTGCATTGTTAACATCAATATCAGTCAAGCATAAAGTCTTGTGGAAGATCTAAAGTTCTATCCTTGGTGTCTCCTGTCTACAAAGATCAAGTGGCTAGTGATGAGGAAAGATGCCAGCTGGAGATTTTGGACAACTGCAACTGACCAGACTAAATACATTACTGGGTTGAGTGACAAATAGCTTGACAACATCCTATCCTGAGATCTTGTCTCAGATTTCATGTTTCACAAAGCAACTCCTTACAGTGTTACAGTTGACTGGAAAAGTCAGTTGGAATATTTTTGTAGCACTCATGAGCTACTTGAAACTGGTGCTCATTCCCCAGCTAGGAAAATGCACTCCAAGCAGACCCCAGACATCTCTTCAGAAAATGCTTATGAAATTCAGCTTGAATGATCCTGAACATTTTTAGGCCAATTATTTGTTCATATAAACCAATACAGATTTACAAAACAAGCTGGATGCACAGGTCCTGCTAAGCCATAGCTTGTTTTAAATGCGGGTATAAAATAATCCCCAAGTAATAATATGGCTCAATATGAGCTGGAATCCAGGTATCATTTTGAACAAGATTACTAATGTTCAGAAATCCATCCAGATAAATTTGAATGAAAAGTGTTTGATAGTCATCCAACCATTTTCCAACCCCGATTTTGTTTTGCAAATATACACAATTGTCACATATCACTGAACATTTTTGTGTGTATCTGTACACTTATAAATACAGTGGGGTAATGCTTAGGGCTTCTGAAACACAGCTACAAATATTATGGGCTTGCTCCAATTCTCTGTGAAGTATGTCAACTGAGATAAAATGAAATGTTAATTATTAAACATCTGAGAGAATCCATTCAGAAGAAAGCATATGGATTCAGATTATTTTCCTACTGAAATATAGCACAGACTTTCTCACTGGAAATAGTGCATGTCACTTCAAGGAACATGACAGCATCCTAACAGCACTGAAAAAAATATATGTATTTGGGTTTCACTCACACTGCTTTTGGGGAGTTTCAAAATTATTCTGAATTTACCGGTAGTCCAGACAAAGCAGCATCCCATTGCACTTTACAGATGAAATCTTATCGAAGAAGGTAATATTTCTTGATTATTTTGCAAACAGATAAATAACTTCAGCAAGTCATTAATTTTTCCATGTGTAAGATTAAAGGTTTGGATAGCATAATGTTTAAGGTTTGTAAGCATAATGACAGCAGATCTATTGAAACCCACAAAAATTCAGTTGAATCCAATGGACTACAGTACTCCACTTGTGAAAATGCCATTTCCCCATGCCATGGTTTAAAAAATAATAATTAAATAAATCACAGTAGGTTAGTTTACATGCAAAGACATAAACCATGATTTATTTGAGATTTGTGCAACATGTAAAGTGAAAACCAAACAAATCATGCTTAATCATTAATAGAATGTGTGAACCAAGCCAAGATCTAGGTCTAAATGTTTTATTGAAGACATATCTTGTTAGTGTTCTGCATAGTAATTTTATTCACAATTATAATTACAACAGTAAAAACTAAACTAAAAAAGACAGAAGAATAAAGTGCAGAAGATGTAAAGAAGAAAAAAAGAAAAAAGAAATAGAAAGCAAATTAGGAATAAAGAAAAAGAAAAAATATAAAGTGTGCTTGTGAGGAGTAATTGTCTAGAACACTTATGGAAGATCTCAAGTTCTCTCCTTGTCTGGTGAGGAATGATCAAAGAGCCCATTGCCTGCTCTTCATTACATCAGCAGTCATCAGAACTGGAATGAAGAGCAGGCAATGAGCTCTTTGATCATTCCTCTCCAGACAGGGAGAAAACCTGAGATCTCCCATAAATATTGGAGTGATGCTGTTTTCAGTCCATTCCTTCCTCTGGAGAGAGACTCATTGGTTTGAAAGAAGGCTACAGAGGGCATTTATGAGCAGCCCTCTCTCAACAGAGGGGGAGGGATAAGACACCACCTATCTCCAGTCTACAATGCAGCCCTTGCAGTGGTTCCAAGAAGATTCTACAACCAGTTGCACTCTG